CCCCCCTCACCCATCTACACACAATACCTAATAATGACAAAGTGAAAACATTTATTGAAAATGAAATACAGAAATTTCAAATGTACGTAAGTATTCACACCCCTGAGTCAATACTTTGTAGAAGCACCTTTGGCGGCGATTACAGCTGTGAGTCGTCTTGGGTTTGTCTGGATCAGCTTTGTACATCTGGATTTGGGGATTTTCTCCCATTCTTCCTTGCAGATTTTCTCAAGCTGGAGAGCAGTGGTGAATAGCAATCGTCAAGTCTTTCCACAGATTTTCAATGGGATTCAAGTCTGGGCTTTGGCTGGGCCACTCAAGGACTTTCACATTCTTGTTCTGAAGCCATTCCAGCATTGTTTTGGCTGTATGCTTGGGGTCATTGTCCTGTTGGAACGTAAATATTCACCCCAGTCTAAGGTCGTTTGCACTCTGAAGCAGGTTCTCGTCAAGGATTTGCCTGTATTTGGCTCCATTACATTTAAGTCATTTAGCAGACGCTCTTATCCAGAGCGACTTACAAATTCATTCCAATTCCATTCATTGTTCCCTCTATCCTTACCAGTCTCCCAGTCCGTCTCCCAGTATGCGTTCCTTTCTTCTTCTTCTTCTTCTGTGTGTTTTATGGCGGACTACAACCCAAAAAGGTGTATTGCCGCCCCCAACTGGGCGGGTTGAAACCAAAACAAGGTTTAAAAAAAATCCATACGTGATAGGGAAACTAACTTAATCCAAATAAAAATAGTACACTGACAAAACTTCTTCCTTCTTTCAATTCTCCTCCATATCCCCCTTCCCAGGCTCTAGGGCTCGTGACAATATTCCATGTAACTCCTTCGCCGAGACTCCAGCCACTCTAGTCATAGACTGTTCGCTCTGCCACCGCACAGCAAGCGGTACCGGAGCTTAACAACTTCTACCCCCAAGCCATAAGACTCCTGAACAGCTAATCATGGCTACCCGGACGACTCTGGGGCCGTTCAGAACAGGTGTATATATATATATACTGAGATCATGTGACACTTAGATTGCACACAGGTGGACTTTATTTAACTAATTATGTGACTTCTGAAGGTAATTGGTTGCACCAGATCTTATTTAGGGGCGTCATAGTAAAGGGGGTGGATACATATGCACGCACCACCTTTCCATTATTTATTTTTTAGAATAAAAAAAAATAAAAAAAGTTATTTCACTTCACCAATTTTGACTATTTTGTGTATGTCCATTACATGAAATCCAAATAAAAATCCATTTAAAATTACAGGTTGTAATGCAACAAAATAGGAGAAACGCCAAGGTGGATGAATACTATTGCAAGTCACTGTACCTACTTATTAACAAAATTAACGACATTTATTTTTTAAATTATTCATAAATATTATCCTGCTATATGAAGAAGTTTAAGGAAAAACATAAATTCAAATTCAAATGATTGAAAATGTAAAAATGGAACTATATTTTAAGACAATTAAATATTCTACTAACATAAAAATTGTTAGAATTATAATTTTTTTTAAATGTGTGTATGCCCCTTTAAGGTCCTTGTGTAATGTGATATTGTACCCCTTAGCTCAATTGTCCTTTGTATATTCTTTATATATACTTGTGTTCCCCCATGTACTTTTTGTATTGAGTTGTTGTTAATAAAAATAAAATAAATAAAGGAAGAGAGAGAGGCACAACTCAGCGGAAAATCTGTCTCCCTCCACCAGGTGGCGTTTTCCCATGGTTTCGCCCACCAAGCAAGGAGTTTTTGTACAAGAGGTCAATGAGAGTGTAACATTTGGTCAACAAAAAAATGTAATGGCTTATTTGCTACGTGAGGTTTATTTGATTTGTAATGCTTTGAGTTGTTACGAGTGTACTGATTTAAGTAGGACACGTGATTCCAGCCAACTGTGAGAGAAAAAAACACTTTATATCGGAGTTGTCTCGAGATGGCTATGCATTTTCAGTCAGCCCGCAATACCGCTTTGTGGACAAATACTCATATTGTTAGGGCGGAGATATGTCTTGACAGTATATCCTAATCTTTGGTATAAACCAGATGCAACCCGGATATAGACGGTGCATGAATCGAAGTATGCGAAAGTGAGTAGATTACCTTTAAAACTCAGGGAGGACATCTTGGACGCAGTGTCCAGTTCTTATAATACCTGAGATATACCTGTAATAGAGATACTAAAATTCCCCTGCCTATTGGGACTGTAAAAGCGTAATACTCATAATAGATAAGCCATTCTAATTTAAAATAGCTAATCAAGCATAATAAAATGGGAATCGTAGTTTACTGTTATTTAAATAATAACTTTCAAAAGGAGATTTGAGCTGCGTCTTTATTGCACTGTTGTGGACAGCCGTTAAACGCAGATGAAAATTAGTACACGTTTACTACGGTATTTACACCTACGATTTGCTAATGTGTCAGGAAGTAAAACGGGAGTTACGGGGTTTGCACTAGCTACCACAGCCACTAGTTACCATGGCTATATCGTCAAAATTCATTAAACAAAAATGTGATTTTTGTTCTTAATTTAAGATTAGGGTTAGGCATAAGGTTAGTGTGGTTAAGGTTATGGTTGAGGTTAGGGGTTAAAATCAGATTTTAAGAACATAAATTGTAGAAATAGGCGGGGTTTATGACGTTGTGGCTGTGGTAACTAGTGACGACCACGTACCTATCCTATTACCGTTCTCCTGGCCGCAGGATAATATGCTGTCAGCACTAGCGCGGATTTCTTTCTTCTTCAAAATAAGAGTCCCTCTACAAAGACATGCTAAACTTTGGGAATATCGATTTTTTTTTGGTTGCACTCTAGTGGAGTACAACAGTTTTTCACAGCATGGCAACTACCTTTAAAGAAATGTATGGATAATTTGCCGTACTCACAAGCTCCCTCACGACGCCAGGACAGCGGAGTCACTCACCACCTTCCGGAGACACTTGAAACCCCACCTCTTTAAGGAATACCTGGGATAGGATAAAGTAATCCTTCTACCCCCCTTACCCCACCCCCCCAAAAAATAAAAAAAATGGTAAAGTGGTTATCCCACTGGCTATCATAAGGTGAATGCACCAATGTGTAAGTCGCTCTGGATAAGAGCGTCTGCTAAATGACGAAAAATGTAAAAATGTAAATGTTACAACAAAAAAATAGTATTATTTTTACCAACATTTATTTGACAACGTTTACCACAATACTGGTATGTGGAAAGTTATTGTGTAGGCTATATCTAAATAAATAATACACTTTTAATAAAATACAAATATATGTCATTGGAATTACTCAATGGTACAATAGCTTAAATGTATCTCTTGTGCTGGGCAACGGGTTTAATACCGAGTGACTCCTTAACTCCACCCACTCCATTCACTGCAATGTAATACACTGGATATGAATGACGTAGGGTCAGTAGAATCTATAGAGAGGTTGGTTGTTTAGCAACAAAACAGACGGGGTTGCCTTAGATTGTTGACAACATGTAAACTATACTCCAATGTTTAGTGAAAAAACATGAATACATTTGCACAATGAACCCTTGTCTCTCATTGGTTAGCTAGCTAGCGGATTTTAGCATAGACGTGACTTCAGTCAAAACACCTCAAACCAAGACATGGTATCATGAACAAGATAAAAACAAAAACAAAAACTAGCTGAAACGAGCCACCTACGATTCCCCACATGGCAGCTTCTTGTCACTGTTGCTAGCTATCTGGCCATCCAGAATCACAACAACACTTCTGCCCCATTGAAGCGTGTGCATCGTTTTCGTGGCGTTGTCAGCTAACCCGTCTATGTGGATGTAGGTTTGCTCTCAAACTCCAGCAACCAGTGGTGGAAATAGTACCCAGTTGTCATACTTGAGTAAAAGTAAAGATACCTTCATAGAAAATGACTCAAGTAAAAGTGAAAGTCACCCAGTAAAATACTACTTGAGTAAAGGTCTAAAAGTATTCGGTTTTAAATATACTAAAGTATCAAAAGTAAAAGTATAAATCATTTCAAATTCCTTATATAAAGCAAACCAGACCGCACCATTTTCTTTTTATTTTCTTTTACGGATCGCAAGGGGCACATTCCAACACTCAAACATCATTTACAAACGAAACATTTGTGTTTAGTGAGTCTGCCAGATCTGAAACATTTGTGTTTAGTGAGTCTGCCAGATCTGAAACATTTGTGTTTAGTGAGTCTGCCAGATCTGAAACATTTGTGTTTAGTGAGTCTGCCAGATCTGAAACATTTGTGTTTAGTGAGTCTGCCAGATCTGAAACATTTGTGTTTAGTGAGTCCGCCAGATCTGAGGCAGTAGGGATGACCAGGGATGTTCTCTTGATAAGTGCGTGAATTAGACCATTTTCCTGTCCTGCTAAGCATTCAAAATGTAACGAGTACTTTTGGGTGTCAGGGAAAATGTATGGAGTAAATATTACATAATTTTCATTAGGAATGTAGTGAAGTAAAAGTAGTCTAAAATAGTAAAGTAAAGTACAGATATAAAAAAAAATAGGACTTAAGTTGTACTTTCAAGTATTTTTACTTAAGTACTTTACACCACTGCCAGCAACACTTTACACCACTGCCAGCAACACAGGCCAATATTGTCACCATACCAGTCTGAACATTGTATTTTTCAATAGTGCTCTTAAAATAATAAAGACCACATTATTTTTTGAAAAATCCAGAAATTCCGTCTTGTATTTGCTTATAATCGCAATAAAAATCGACATTGATTAAAGCGTAACAGCTTTCGAATGAGTTATCCACCTTGCAATGTTTTGAAATGCGGGCTTTTATTTTGAAGATTTCCTCATTACAATATGAAAGTGACGTCATCGTTAGTGCTGCTAGCAGAATACTAGTACGGATATTAAATCGTGTGTCGCTATCCTTCTTCAAAACTATACCTGACAGAGCTTCAATCGGTACCAGGTCTTGTCCGGACGGGACAGAGAAGTTAGGTTCGGCCGGGGAGGCCGTGGAGGGGCTGGTAATATGGGCCTGTTGGCTAGGATAAGGAAAGAATGGTTTATTATCGGCATAGTGGCAGTAATCGTGTCCGCGAAACTACAGCCTGCATTTGGAGTGAAAGGAGGTGAGTTGAAGTTGACACTGATGTGATGGTCATCAACGTTCATGTCAACATTGTTTTAGCTAACAGTTTATTCAAAACATAAGTTAGATCTTATGATTTTCCATAATGGTTCGGACAAGAATGGTAAGTGCCTACTTGAACATTTTGTGTTTGCAAGTTGGACAGCGATATCTGTTGAGCTGTCACGCTCACTCAAGCAGGTGAGTTGACCTAGCCCTTGATCACCACTCAATTCCATTACATACCACATATGTCATTGGACGAAGGCATCTTCTGTATGGGGGCAGTTTTGTGAAGAGCCCTGATGCTTTGTCTGAACGTCAACAGGGACCTTTATCTTTCATATCAGCGAGAAATAATTTTCTATAGGGTCAGCGTTCCCACATGGCAATATCTGCATGTTACAGCGCGTTTATGGAAGACCTACTGAAGACAGAAGACTAATTAGCTATCTAGCTATTAGCTATCTAGCATGCTCCGAACACCTGTGTGAAGGCCGCCAGAAACGTGTTGTCACTGAAAAATACTGTCCCCTGTTCTGCTACTACTGTTTCAGCCTACAGTATCCTATTCACAGCTTTATCAGCGATGACCTGAAAGATAGCAGTTTGCTACTGTGGGTAGCTAGGCCTCACGGTTCAATAGTAGTTTAGTTGTGATAAATTGGCCTATTGTGTAGGGAGGGGACCGTGTGTAGTAGTTAGCTAGCTACCTGTCCGGGCTAAAGTGACACGATAGCGCTTTACGCTTAGCACCCAGGAAACAGACGAGTTCGCACCATCCAATACACACACAGAAACACTCCTCCATATCCGGGAGCACAGCTTACCTCCTGTTTCCTCATTTAAGTTCTAGAGTCTAGGAATAATATGCTTATCCTATATGCTTTGTGTGTCCTGATACCTGTGTTTGCTTATGTATTAGTTTCTCTCGCTCTCTCTCTCGCTCTCTCTATCTCTGTCCTCTCTCTCTCTCTCTCTCTCTCTCTCTCTCTCTCTCTCTCTCTCTCTCTCTCTCTCTCTCTCTCTCTCTCTCTCTGTCTCTCTCTCTCTCTGTCTCTCTGTCTCTCTCTCTCGCTCTCTCTATCTCTGTCTCTCTCTCTCTCTCTCTCTCGCTCTCTCGCTCTCTCGCTCTCTCGCTCTCTCGCTCTCTCGCTCTCTCTCTCGCTCTCTCTCTCTCTGTCTCTCTCTCTGTCTCTCTCTCTCTCTCTCTCTCTCTCTCAGGTCCACTGAGGCCAGAGTTCACGATCACCTATGTGGCGGTGTCAACCATTTTCTTCAACAGTGGCCTGTCATTAAAAACAGAGGTAAAGAGACGTTTACATTCAGCGTTAGTGAATCAGACTCCTCGGTCTAATGATTTGCGAAAGTCTGGACTGCACAGATAGTTTAGTTACCACATAATGGCCGGTTTTCCAAAAGCTATTTAATTGGAGATTCTCCATTGAGCATGCATTTTCATCCCGGCCCAAAGGGTTTTGTTTGCATGGTTCATTGATACTGCTCTCCCCCTCCCCATATTCCTCTAGGAGTTGACCGGTTTGATGCTTCTCCCTCCCCATATTCCTCTAGGTGTTGACCGGTTTGATGCTTCTCCCTCCCCATATTCCTCTAGGAGTTGACCGGTTTGATACTGCTCTCCCCTCCCCATATTGCTCTAGGAGTTGACCGGTTTGATGCTTCTCCCTCCCCATATTCCTCTAGGAGTTGACCAGTTTGATGCTTCTCCCTCCCCATATTCCTCTAGGAGTTGACCGGTTTGATGCTTCTCCATATTCCTCTAGGAGTTGACCAGTTTGATGCTTCTCCATATTCCTCTAGGAGTTGACCAGTTTGATGCTTCTCCCTCCCCATATTCCTCTAGGAGTTGACCGGTTTGATGCTTCTCCATATTCCTCTAGGAGTTGACCAGTTTGATGCTTCTCCCTCCCCATATTCCTCTAGGAGTTGACCAGTTTGATGCTTCTCCATATTCCTCTAGGAGTTGACCGTTTGATGCTTCTCCCTCCCCATATTCCCTCTAGGAGTTTGACCGGTTTGATGCTTCTCCCTCCCCATATTCCTCTAGGAGTTGACCGGTTTGATGCTTCTCCCTCCCCATATTCCTCTAGGAGTTTGACCGGTTTGATGCTTCTCCCTCCCCATATTCCTCTAGGAGTTGACCGGTTTGATGCTTCTCCCTCCCCATATTCCTCTAGGAGTTGACCGGTTTGATGCTTCTCCCTCCCCATATTCCTCTAGGAGTTGACCGGTTTGATGCTTCTCCCTCCCCATATTCCTCTAGGAGTTGACCAGTTTGATGCTTCTCCATATTCCTCAAGGAGTTGACCGGTTTGATGCTTCTCCCTCCCCATATTCCTCTAGGAGTTGACCGGTTTGATGCTTCTCCCTCCCCATATTCCTCTAGGAGTTGACCGGTTTGATGCTTCTCCATATTCCTCAAGGAGTTGACCGGTTTTGATGCTTCTCCCTCCCCATATTCCTCTAGGAGTGACCAGTTTTGATGCTTCTCCCTCCCCATATTCCTCTAGGAGTTGACCAGTTTGATGCTTCTCCCTCCCCATATTCCTCTAGGAGTTGACCAGTTTGATGCTTCTCTCTCCCCCTCCCCATATTCCTCTAGGAGTTGACCAGTTTGATGCTTCTCCCTCCCCATATTCCTCTAGGAGTTGACCGGTTTGATGCTTCTCCTCCCCATATTCCTCTAGGAGTTGACCGGTTTGATGCTTCTCCCTCCCCATATTCCTCTAGGAGTTGACCGGTTTGATGCTTCTCCCTCCCCATATTCCTCTAGGAGTTGACCAGTTTGACGCTTCTCCCTCCCCATATTCCTCTAGGAGTGTGACCGGTTTGATACTGCTCTCCCCCTCCCCATATTCCTCTAGGAGTTGACCGGTTTGATCCTTCTCCCTCCCCATATTCCTCTAGGAGTTGACCAGTTTGATGCTTCTCCCTCCCCATATTCCTCTAGGAGTTGACCAGTTTGACGCTTCTCCCTCCCCATATTCCTCTAGGAGTTGACCGGTTTGATACTGCTCTCCCCCTCCCCATATTCCTCTAGGAGTTGACCGGTTTGATCCTTCTCCCTCCCCATATTCCTCTAGGAGTTGACCAGTTTGATGCTTCTCCCTCCCCATATTCCTCTAGGAGTTGACCGGTTTGATGCTTCTCCCTCCCCATATTGCTCTAGGAGTTGACCGGTTTGATGCTTCTCCCTCCCCATATTCCTCTAGGAGTTGACCGGTTTGATCCTTCTCTCTCCCCATATTCCTCTAGGAGTTGACCGGTTTGATGCTTCTCCCTCCCCATATTCCTCTAGGAGTTGACCGGTTTGATGCTTCTCCCTCCCCATATTGCTCTAGGAGTTGACCAGTTTGATGCTTCTCCCTCCCCATATTGCTCTAGGAGTTGACCAGTGCCCTCCTCCATGTGAAGCTGCATCTGTTTGTCCAGTCCTTCACCCTGGTCTTCTTCCCTGTTGCCATGTGGCTCTGTATCAAACTACTGGCTCTTACCTCCATCAACACTTGGCTGCTTCGAGGGTGAGTACAGAGAGAGAGATTTAGTGTGGCTGTGTTTCTAACTTTAACCCATTTGACTGCTCAGAGGGAGTGGGGGGGGGGGACCCTCGGATGTTCCTAACACACAACTACATACTGTATGAGGGAGCAAGCGAGGAGGGGGTTAGAGAGGAAGGGAGGAGGAGTTATGTCTATGAGTGAAAGAGTCCTTTATTCAGCCAGTGGTTCTACCTTATGGTTGCCGTGGGTGATGTGACCTTGACAAAGACCCTGTTGTGTCTCTCTCTCTCTCTCTCTCTCTCTCTTCTGTTTACTGCGTCCCGTTCAGACGGTGGGAGTATGCCCCCTCCTTCCCCTCTGCTGTCAATCCAAACTAGCGGGGA